GAAACTGTGGCAGCAATGCAGACAAGAGACTGTGGTGGCCTGGGGTAAGGAATTGCACGTGGAAGGAGGAGGACTAATCCTATAAACGTGGTCTATATTGTGGGATCACATGTGCATGCATTTAACTGACTCTGCAGACTCCAAATCCTTCTGATATCCAACCCCAGTGTAAATGGGTCTGACTCCTCTTAAGAAAGGAAGATGACCATGTCTCTGTGGAGTCACCAAAGGAGATACCAACTTGAAGTCATGACCAGGTTCTTCTCTGTATTTCTCAAATACAGTAGTATGTAGGTCTTATTAAACAAGATTTCAATTTAAATCCAAACATCATTGAATACCAACCAATGTTAGACCCTGTTCCAGAAGCTTTCACATATATCCTATTTTACCTGCAGTGGTTGAAAATAAGGCCATACTTAAGTTACTACACAAATAGAGCAAATTTAAGCTTCCATCCTGATTATGAGAAATTCATTCATCATTCTCTGAGCCCTCGCTTCCTCGGAAAGTAAGAACCCGTCAGTGCTCACCTTGTCCAAATGAGTCAATCTTGTTTATTTGTGTTATGCAGAAAAGAAATGGAGAAGTCTGATCTGACTGCCTAAGGTTCTCACTTCTGCTTTTGTGGGACTGGTACAGAAAACAGGAAGTCCAGCTCCCATGTCTAAAGGTTGGAGGCCTAACCCACTGCAGAGAGTGCTGCACAGACTAGAGGGAGAGAAGTTAATGATGGTTACTCCACACTGCAGGAGACTGGATTCCCAATTACAAGTCTAGTGACAAATACTTTCATGTGCAGATAATCAACTCTTTCTCTTAAGGAACCCCAAGGTCCAAGATGGTGGGTCAGGACAGGGTGTAACATCAACTCTTTGTGCCCAATTGACCATCCCTAAGACAAGACAGGCCCTGGTGTTGACCTGGCTTACCAGCCCAGCTCTTTCACTCCACTTCCACCATCACCACCACTACCACCGTGACTGTGGATTTCTTCTTGAGGGCCATTATTGTGCATTTCTGACCCCTTAACTTATGTAGGACCATCCCAGCACATCAGGAAGGGTTATAATAATGTGAAACCCCAAAGGGAAAGAGCCATATTTATGATTTACTAGGAAAATCCTTGGTCCTTTGCAAGATTTACAAGAAGAGAATACTTGTTTGAGACATTTATGCAGTGGCTTTTTAAAATGCTTTTAAAAAATACCTTTAAATACTTTTTAAAATACTCAGGTGGAAGCTCTGGGTGTCAAGTTCAAGAGTAGCAGGTGAGCTTGAGATTTGGAAGTGACGGCTGTATTTGGTAGTTAATGACAAGAGAGGATGTGATTGACTGTGGAGAGGAAGACAGCTGAGAAGGAAACTGAGGACTAGTATCATTTGGGAGCCAGCCCACCAAGGAAGCAGAGAGAGAGCTCTTTGAGTAGGAGAAAGATAGAGTTGTGTCATGGATTCCCAAGGGAGAAAACATTTCAAGGAGAAGGAATTTGTTCAACAGCATTCAGAAGAGGTAAAGAAAGCCAAGGTCTGAAGTCAGGTTATGAATTTCTCAGACAGATAAAGGCCTGTTTTGGCATATTATTGATTAAGGTCATATGATCAGATAACATTCTCTTTCAACAATTTGTGCTTGGAGTTGTATAATTAGACTCTTATCAGCACAGTATTGACCATCACTCGCTGAAGTAGTAATTGCTAAAGTAGTAAGGTCTTTTCATCACGTCTTATTCTGCTGATTTTATCAGAAGCAAAAAAGCTATTTCCTCTTGACATCAGGAAAATCCAGTCACTACTATATTGTGTTTTGTCTTTGCCACTTGACTGTGGCATGGCCCTGTACAGCATGGGTTCTTTTGAGTTCAGTATGTCTATTCACATGTCAGGTAATGATTTAATTCTCCTACACTTTTTCCTGGAATGCTCTGAAAACGTCTGAACACCAGGCTAGGACACTGTCATCACTTAGCTTGGGCATATCATTTATATATTCAGTCTACTTCTTTTCTCTTTAGTCCGACATTATTAAAGTACTTCTACTTGGCGCCAATGTATCATATACAGAAATACAAATACAGGTGATATTGAGTGGCAATACAATTTCAGGATATGCTTATATTAAAATTTCTGGGTCACTGAACTGAAACCATGAAAATTCAAAGTCCTCCTGGGGACCTGTGGCCCATGTTTCAGAAACACTGCCAGGGAGATTATGCCCAGTGGATGGGCACTCCTCTCTTCATGCCTATACTTTACTTTTGATGTCCGTCTTTAAGGGAAGAAGGCTTGAATTGGAACCTGTGAGGAGCAACAATAGCAGTAGGTGAATAACAATTTCTGGTCTGCAGTGACATCCAGAGACTTCGTTTTAGAATAATTTTCGCACCTTTCAGATATCTTTTATCTTTTCCTAAAAAACAAATGGACATTTCTTTGATAATGAACTGTGGTGTGTTAACTTTTTTTGACCCATCAACAGTGCAGTGACAGATTCCAATTGATAGTTGGTTAAGGCTTCTTTAATTTAATACATACCCTAGCATTTAATATTGGTTGGCAGGGGAAAGGTTGCATAACGACAATTATCACATAGAGATACACAGCGGAGAGGAAATTGAAAAGGTCTGGCTTTCTCCACGTGGAAGAGTAGGAACACGAAGGCACGGAAGTATATTGGATACTTTCCGCCCACAAGATCTCTTGATCTTTGTGAGAAATCATGACTTTGGGGACATGGAGGTCATTAGAGCAATTTGCTTATATTTCTTCCTCTTTCTGAGCACATGATAGGACTTTATTTTTTCACGGGGCCCTGTGGTTTGTTTTTGCCAATCAAATGTGAGCAGAAGTGGTATGTCTCATTTCAAAGGGGGAACCTTGAAAAGCTGGTGTCAGATGCACCATAGTCTGTTTTCTCTGCCTTGATGTCCAGTGATAATATTCAGATGATGGCTGCATTAGTCTGTGTCTGTGAGTGAAAATGATAGAGAGTAAAGGGCTCCAGTGATGTGATGGACAGGTAGATCAAGAGATAAATAAACCTTTGCTGTTTAAAGATACTAAGATTTGAGTCTTGACCTTGTCTTCTCGATTTTATAGGGGTCAAGAACCTGAAGTGATCATTTTACTCCTAACTCAATAAGAGGGTCTAAGCCAGCTAAAACATTTAGAAAGTAGATGTACCTAGCACAATAATAGATGTTATTGGGGCACCTGAATGGCTCAGTCAGTTGAGCATCCAACTCTTGATTTCGACTCAGGTCATGATTTTATCATTTGTGGGATTGAGCCTTCCATCGGGTTCTGCACGGAAAGTGTGAAGCCTGCTTGGGATTGTCTCTCTTCCTCTCTCTATCTTCCCTCCCCTCGTGCACATGCACACATTCTCTCTCTCAAAATAAACTTTAAAAAATGGATGTTATTTTAGTGAGAATAACATTATGCCATGCTTTACAATTCTCAAAACAATTCTTCATAGATTATTTCATTTCTTCTCCCTTGTGTTCTTGGGAAGAGATCTCAGATCTCTACCTCTTCCTTCCATACCAACACGCCTTGGTCAGTTGGCTGCTCTCACTTCCCATCCCACTTCTAATATGCTCCTAATTCAGCACTCGGTACAGTGTACTGCCGTTTTAAAATAAGATCTGTCTTCCTAGGAAATTGTGTCCTGTTCATTGTTGTATACTTTCTTTCCAAACAACATCCAAGCTCCCCTTTTTCAGACACATAACAAGTGCTTCATAAACAGTCGTTTGAAGAAGTTAAGAAGTAAGGTAGGTGGCAAGTCCAAAGTTATAAGTAGCACTTCAGTAGCAAAGCTTTAGATAGGGTTCTAAGACTTCTGACTCAACATTCCATGATTTAACTATCATTTATTGAGCACTGAGGAAGAGCAAGCAGCTCCGACATCTAGGTACTGACCTTGATGTTGCTGTGAGCTCGTATGGACCATGTTCTGTAGAATGAAAACAATTTCACAGAATAGCATCAGACAAGGCCATTCTATGACCACGGTCAAGACAAAAACCCAGACCACTCCACAGTCTTGTCGGAACACAGGACACGAACATTGTCTAAACCACACAAATGACCAAAAATGTCTACCATACGCTGCTTCTTTATCAGTTATGGCTTTAACCTCCACTTATGTCCACTCCTTCCTACTAAGAATTAAGACACCCACTCAAAGAAATACCCCTACTTCCTAACAGCATCCAATACAGCGGGAGGCCTTGCTTTCATGGACCCTCCCCACAATCACATGCACCCAAATCCCATCACAAAGTCTAACACTTCTACTGAGATACCCCGTGGCTCCCCATTTATGCATCCCTCCTCCTAACAGGAAGTCTAAACCCAGCATCAGGTGTGGTCCCGGTGGGCTTGTTGGAAGGCACGGGTACAGCCTCTCCTTTGTTCCAGGGCTACGCAGTATATACGTGTCGAGGGTTCGTTAGAACAATCCTTAGGCGTTATGCCCACTTGACAAAGAAAGGAGATTCATAGAAATTAAATAATTTGCCCAGGGTCACACTACCAGGAAGAGCCAGAGACCACACTTCAGATCCTTTGCCAGGGGTAAGTACTCTTTACCGCCACGGGCTCCCCCTACCCCGCTTCTGCGTTTCTAGGGCACTTGCTCCGCCGAGCCGGACACTACAGGGAGCCGCATCCCAGACACGTTACTTTTGCAACAGATCCCCGTGTGCTTCCGTGAAAAACGGTGTTCAGACCCAGAAACGCTCTCCCGCTGCAGAGCCCCGGGGCGAGCCCCGGACGCGGTCCCGCGGAGCGGCTCGGCGGGCGGCCAGCTGCGCGCCGCCGGGCCGGCGGGGCCTCGGGGGGCGGGCTCCCCAGAGCGACGTCGCGCCGACCAATCCCCGCGAGGCCGCCAGCCGCGGGGCCCAATCGCAGAGCAGCGGGGCCGGACGGCGACAGCCACGCGGGCGGGGACTCCGGCCGCCGGCGGCCCCGCCCCTCGGCCGGCTGGGGCGCTCCGCGGGCCGCGGCTGAGTCTCCGCCTGGAACCGGGCGGACGTCGGGCCCGCAGACCCCCCTCCGACCGCGCTGGGAGCCGCCGCCCGGTGCGCCGGCGCCTCGCGCAGCTCCCTGGGCCCGAGTCCGCAGGGCCGCCGAGGAGCCGAGAGGGGACTGCGCGGCGACCCGTCGCCGTCGTCACCCGGGAGGCCGGAGGGCGCTTTGTTGGTTTGCTTTAAAATGAGAGCTTGAGCTTCCCCGACAGGTGCACTAGGTCGAATTCAGCGGAAATTCCCCTCCCCGTCCCGGCGGCCGGCGCAGACCCGGCCCCCGCCCCTGACCGCGGAGGGTGTCACCGGCGCGTCCCGGGCCGCCCAGCCTCGGGAGCGCGGGCTGCTGTGCAGGCGCCCGGGGAGCGCAGGGCACCCCGCCCGAAGACAGCCCCCCGGATTCCGTCCCCGAACAGGATCAGACCTGCGCCTAGCCTGGCAGGAAGGCTGTAACCGTGGGGTGAGTTTAAACGGAAAAAAACCCCTTTACGACTGGGGGCTGCCTGTAGAGGCCCCCTTCCTGTCCTCGTTAACGAGCAGCAAAATAACAATAACAAACAGTTGCGCAATTGTCGCGTTCCCAGGGGAATCTCACCGTTTCCCTTTCGAACACCGGTTGGCAGTATGTACAATGTGGGGACTGCGGTGAAATTATTCCAAACGAAAATGGGTGACAACTTACTAAGACGATTTTAAGCGGCTTGAGCCCCAAAAAGGTCATGCTTACTCTTAAAAATAGGAAGTACGACAGTCACCGGTTTACTGCGTAGCCTACTCCGAAGTGAAAATTAATTTCTTAGGAAGTGCTCACTGCTTTCTGTTCCCCAGTTTTCCCCAGGTACTCCACAAAACTCTAACTTCCCCGTTCTTTTTAACAGAATTCAGCTACCGACCCAGGCAGTATGAAGATTTTCTTTGTAGAACCTGCCATTTGCCTTAGTGCATTTGCTATGACTTTGATCTCTCCGCTCACAACACAGTATGTGTATAGGAGAATATGGGAAGAAACGAGCAACTACAGTTTTGTATCTGATAGCAATGCTTCTGAGTGTGGAAAAAATAAAAGCAGCCCGATTTTTGCATTCCAGGAGGTAAGAAATTAAAATACCTCTAAAATGTAATATAAGGGGAATGTGTAATGGGGTTTTTGATGAAAGAGGGCATTGCACTCATCGTACGTTGATCTCCCAAGGGTCACCTTAAACACTCTGAAATCCCAAGTCAAGAGCATTTATTTAGTTCTCCTGTTTGAAGTTTCCTGACACCTTTAAGCTGCCTCTTTTTTTTTTGTTTGTTTGTTTTTTTTTTAATTTTTTTTAATGTTTTTTATTTATTTCTGAGAGAGAGAGAGAGACAGCGTGAGCAGGGGAGGGTCAGAGAGAGAGGGAGTCACAGACTGAAACAGGCTTCAGGCGTTCTAAGCTGCCAGCACAGAATTTGACACCGGGCTCGAGTCCCGGATCGGTGGGATGGTGACCTGAGCTGAAGTCAGTTACCCTACCGACTGAGCCACCCAGGCGCCCCTCATCTGCCTCTTCTAAGTAAAAGCCCCTTCTTTTTTCTGTGACATTGGTGCTTCTCCTTTCTCAGAAAATTTCAGCCTGGTCTCATCTCCCAGGGGCTCTTTCCTCCCCCCGCCCCCACCATTCCAAAGCCTGAAAGTTGGAATGAGTAGTCAGTGGTCCCAGTGGGGTGAAATAGTGTTCCTGCCTTTCCCTGGCCTGCTTCCTCCCAGCCCCCCTTCTGCCTGTACATGACCCAGTTTTCACTGACCCCATAAGTAGCCCATCACTGAAGACTGTGGACCCTGGGGCCAGTGTCCTTCATCGACTTGTAGGGGGCAGAGGGCAGTATTTGTCATTCATCATTTGGGGTTAGCAGATCGGCTGTGACTCCCAGGTGCTGAGGAGCAGGTGTGTGAGATGACCTGCGGAGGAAAGCACACACTTTGGTTCTGAGGACACTGAAAAGGCTGAGCCAGGTATTACAGAACGTTTCCTTCCTCCTCTCTGGCCTCCTCCCCCAATTTTTTATTTATTTAAAACAGGAGGTATGTCATCATTCTCCTCCCTCAGACAGTTTTTAGCAAAGTCTACCAGCATCCGGATGTGAAGGAGATAGCATTCAGATTTGGAATTTTACCCCTCAGAAAGCCTCAGAAACAGACCACAGTTCTAAACTTTGAACCCTTCCCCCAGGGGATATTTTGTGATGGCAAATGAGTGGCATCTCAGAGGCCAGGAAGAGGGGCCTCAGAGGACAGGAAGAGTTTGGAGGAATTCACGTCACCCGCCTGGCTGGCTCTAAGAGTTTCCCCTCAGGAGAAGGGAACTCAGGTGTGACTGGGAGATGAGCCTGAGGCCTGGAAGAGATGGCAAAGGGCCCAGAAGGAAGGCTCTAGAGCTTCTGGAGGTGGAACCCCGCCCCCCAGGTGTGAGGTATAACCTTGCCGGGCTGAGGCCTGGCCTTTGGACACAGCTTCCACTGTTCCTCATTTCCATGGGAGAAGTTTCTTGGAACTGATAATTGCTGGGAAGCCATGCAGACATCAAGGTTCTGGCCTAGAGTGGGGTCATAAAAATAGAAGGGCCAAGGGTCTCACCTCGTGGTTTTGTCTCCTGACTTTAAGAATGATTCCCTATATATATTCATTCCCAGAGAGTGAGAACGTTCAGTAGGCTCATCAGTTGCCATATTGGATTCCGTGCTTTCCTTCCCCAGATACGCAGTGGGAGGGACAGAGGGGAGAGGACTTGAATGTCTGGAAAAATCTGCTGCCCTTGCCCTCTCAGAGTGAGGGGAGACAGGCCGTGGTTCAGTGGCCTTGGTGGCCTCCGTGACTGTGCAGGTGATGAGCACCAGCTCCCTCTGGCCTCACGCAGCTGCCGAGAGGCCCCCGCTGCCCAGAGCAGAGGTCTCATTTTTAAAATTTCTGCCGAATGTTTAAGTTGATTGTTGTTTCATTGCTTTTAAATTAGATTAGTATTCAAGAAAACATACTACCCTAGATACCTTCCCTTAAAGCCGGAGCTTTACAGCTACAGGGGCGTTCTCTCAGATTGGGGAACTAGAAAGCACAACTGTCCCCACCCACAACAGGGACGGGTCAGGAGGGCCACTCGCTGTTTGCTCCTTAGGACAGAGGAACATTTTTGTTTCCTAGGAGGCCCCCCCATCTCCTTCGGCATTTCCCTGTGGCCCCTTTTCTGGATACTGTTCCTGCTCAACATAAGAATATTCTCTTACCTTTATTTTTTTAAATGTTTCTTTATTTTTGAGAGAGACACACACACATACAGAGTGCAAGTGAGAGAGGAGCAGAGAGAGAGGGAGACACAGAATCCGAAGCAGGCTCCAGGCTCTGAGCTGTCAGCACAGAGCCTGACGCGGGGCTCAAACCCACCAACTGTGAGATCATGACCTGAGCTGAAGTCGGACACTTAACCAACTAAGCCACCCAGGCGCCCCCTCCTTAAAATCCCAAGGACAAATGTTCTCTGTTTTATGCCCTTCCTTCTCAATTCCCAGCTCTGCTGGGTGGGTGCTGGCCACTTGCTGACTTAAAGAAATTTAGAGGTTTGAGAATTGTCCTTTTAACCCTAAAAATAAAATGTCATAGGATACGCAGAGTCAGTACCGAATAAAATAAATGATTTTTTTCAGTTCAAATGTTTCTTTGCCACTCCCCCAAAAGACCAATTACTGGTTAGAAGAGTGCATAATACAGTACTGTATTGAACTTCCTACTGTTATACAATATTTATGTATCCTTCTCTGTAACAAATACACAGATACAGACACATGTATTGGAATGTAAGGTAATAATATGAATTTCAGTGTACAGATATAAGAATAAACTAGGCTATTTCACTTATACTTAACATTCTGAAAATCTATATGAATAAAAGCCCTATTTTTCTACATACTGGAGTATATATATGTGTATATATATACATATATATATATCCACATAAATAAATATTGATCTAACCTATTTTTCAAATCTTTGAGTTTTCTGAGTCTCATGACTATGAGATGCAGCTACATACTTCTCTTGAGCAAGATTACTCTCTAAAAGGCCTCTTAACAAAATGGGAAGGCTGTGGCAAGGGACTCTTTGCTAAGGGAAAAGAGGTAGGGAATTCTAAGCATGGTTGTTAACTTGTGTGGAGGAAGGAGTTTTTAAACCCCTTGCCATCTTCTCCTTCCCAACTTAAATGACTGGTTTTGAGCTGTTAAATGGGCCACTTTGGTCTGTTCTCTTCAAGTGCTGTCAAGACAGGGACCCTGCTAGTTGAGGAGGCAAGTTGGCATCAACCAGATCATGAAATTGTTCTTGTTCGGTAATTTATTTATAAACCTTTTAATAGCTAACACAGTCCCTTACTACCAGCAGATAGAGGACATTTTCTACTCAATTGTAATTACTGTATAATTTTAAGCCTATGAAATTGTGACTTTTAAAAATTGATATTCCTTGGGGCGCCTGGGTGGTTCAGTCGGTCCGACTTCAGCTCAGGTCATGATCTCATGGTTCATGGGTTCGAGCCCCGTATCAGGCTCTGTGCTGACCTCAGAGCCTGGAACCTGTTTCAGATTCTGTGTCTCCTCTCTCTGCCCCTCCCCTGCTCATGCTGCCTCTGTCTGTCTCTCTCTCTCTCTCCTCTCTCTCTCTCTCAGAAATAAATGAAACATTAAAAAAGTTTTTAAACACTGATGTTGCTTTTCTTAATTTAATTGACACCTGTCTCAGTACATTGTCATTCTGTTCAGTCTTTTTTTTTGTTTTGTTTTTAGTTTTTTTCCAAAGTCTATTTATCTATTCTGAGAGAGAGAGTGTGCGAGTGTGTACATGTGAGCGAGGGACAGGGAGAGAGGGAGGGAGGGAGGGAGGGAGGGAGGGAGCGAGAGAGAGAGAGAGAGAGAGAGAGAGAACCCCAAGCAGCCTCCATGCTGTCAGTGCAGAGCCGGATGCAGGGCTCGAACTCATGAACCGAACCTTGAGATCATGACCTGAGCTAAAATCAAAAGTTGGGTGCTTACCCGACTGAGCACCCCAGGCGCCTCGTTCAGTCTTATATAGGAAATGGCACTTTTTACTCTGATTTCTCCTATCTACCCTTATCTAATACATAATTATAATTCTAATATATGATGATATCTAATATATAATTAAAGATTACAGATGAGGAGAGTAGTCTGTATAAAAGGCTGGGTCAGGAATGACAGGAGATAGAAAGATCAGGTGTGGGGGAGGGGCGGGAATGGGAGTTGGAATTCCACACTGGAACATCTTGTTGAGAAGCTGATTAAAAGATAACCATTTGATTTACTTCTTTATTGAGTAAATATTTACTTGACAGCTTTTATAACCATAGAGCTACAACGATGTGCACCAGAAGCCTGGTCTAGTAAAAATCAAAGAGCCAGAGTTGATTAAGCACAAATACATAATAGGGTCTGTGCGGTGTGCCTCATAGTGACCTACTGACTTTAAATGTCACCCTCACAACAGCCTGCAAAATAGGGACTCCTGCTACTTCCTCTTGTCAGATGAAGCCGTAGGGATAAATAGCTTGGTCAGAATCACATGCAGTAGCAAGTTGCAAGGCCCATTTTATTTGCTTATCTGCTGGTACGACCAGTATCTCAGGAGCACTCTGGGAAGCATTTTGTTGAAATTGGTGGTAAAGGAGACGGCGTTCCTGACCTCCCAGAGCTTAGGCAGTAGTGGAGAAGGCACAGAGTCAGCAGCTCTGCTAAAGTAACCCACCCCGTGGAGGTGGGGCAAGTCTCTAAAGAAAACTGTAGGCGGATCAGGGCATGGAGCACTGGGTGGGTTGATGGGTTGCTCTGGATTGGTCACAGAAGACTTCTGAGGAGGTGGCTTTTGAATTGAGGAAGCGAGCTGTGTGAACGGCAAGCACAAAAAAAGTGAATGAGCCTGGAGTGTTTGAGGAATGGCATGCAGCTGAGGGAGCTAAGAGGTAGAGATGAAATCAGAGAAGTCATGATGTCTGGCTGCCCACGCCATGGCAAGAAATTCAGATTTATTCCACCGTCAGGAAAGCCTCTGGGGGATTTTGAGTAGAGCAGTGACGTGAGCAGGTTGATGTGTGTTTTTAAAGATCACTGTAATTGCTATGTAAAGAACTATGTCTGAATCTAAACTGATCTGACTCCAGAGCTCCTAATCATTACACAAAAAAGTGCAACTGAAGAATGATAATGGCCATATGAGAAGTTCAGCAAAAGGAGAGATGACATCTGTTTGGGCATTTCAGGCAAATCCAAGTTGGACTTGACTGTGGGCTGTGCCTGTAGCATGGAGCATGTGGGGAGTGAGTGGAGATAATGGTGAAGAGTGGGGTTAGACCACACCTGGGTGGCCTTACATAACGGACACAGAACGTGTGAACTTCCTCTAGCAGACAGAGAGCTAATAAGCAAGTGAGAGACCTGCCACTAGTGTGTTTTGGCCAGCTGCGCCCACCGTTAGGGTGTATGATCTGCACAGTGAGGAGGCTGGCATCACAGACTGAACTGAAGAGAGAGCAAGGTGCCAGGGTAGTCCTGGTGAGTACATGAGCCCTGTGCTTCCAGTGGTGGCGATGGGACTAGGAAGAGGTAGAGGTCATGAGAGGCACTGGGTGTGAGTGGGGCGTGAAGGGAAAGGCCAGAAACAAAGAGGACTGGAGTTTTGAGTCTTGGTGACTAGGATGCTTCCTGCTAACATGAAATTACTTGTATTATATGAATATATAAAAATGAACACAGGCTCACTCTTAAAAAATCATTAATTTCAGTACTTTATATATTTTGTGGTTCATCAGTTGTTTTAGGGTGGTTTCTAAATATTACATGAATAAGTCTATTTTTAAAAATGAGTTTAGTAATCCCTATTATAAAAATGGTCTATACTCTTTATATAAAATTTGGAAAATACAGAGAGGTGGCAAGCAGAAAGTTCTCTTAAATCACCCCAAATTCTTTCCATCAAACAACTAGCGTAGCAACTGTAACACCATTTAGTCTGTGTGTGTACCTGGTCATGTTCGTCCTCGGGGAAGCTGGGTTTACCTTACTCCTCAGTTCACGGCATGTTACCATCCTCGTCAGTGCAAAGCTTCTCTTTGGGTTTTATCTTATTTTTTTAATATGATTTATTTGGGGGAGAGCACATCTAGGAGAGGGGGAAAGAGAGAGGGACAGAGGATCCAAAGTGGGCTCTACACCAATGGGCTGAGAGTAGTGAGCCTGACGCTGGGCTTGAACTCACAAACCGGGAGATCATGACCTGAGCCAAAGTCGGACACTCAACTGACTGAGCCACCAGGTGCCCCTATCTTATTTTTCAGTGAGTAAAGAAACAGACTAGAAGAAATTTATTTGTGGAGACACATGTGAAAAAAAGCAACTGAGTGCTTCCTAAATAAAGGTCTATCAAATATGACATTTATGCGTGATAGTCATTCCCCTTTAAGCAGACAGAAAGATCTGTCATGGGAAAGGGTATTGCTCTTGCTTTACAACAGTGGTCATGATCTCCATGCTAGCTGCTCATAGAAGAAAGAAAAATCATTATACGACCAGTCCCAGATGTCTCAGGGTCTATGGATCCTCTATGCAGACGTACAGCAATACCCAATTTTCTTTTTATGAGTGAACGTCCCCACCACAGCACTTGAGTATTATGACTGAGTCTTGATTCCTGTATCACTTCTTGACATTTGCTTTGTGCACTGGAAGAAGATTCAGGCTGTATCAAACCCATGCACCAGAGAGTCCTTATTGGCGAGGTACTGGAAAAAAACCAAAGCATGGACTGTGATGTTTTCATGCACGTTGTCTGTATCTCTGTAAACACATGGTCTTCTTTTTGTTTCTTTGCAGGAAGTTCAGAAGAAAGTGTCTCTTTTTAATCTGCAGATGGACATAAGTGGGTTAATTCCTGGTCTCGTGTCTACCTTCATTCTTCTGTCTCATAGTGATCATCAAGGACGGAAGTTCCCTTTGATTTTGTCTTCTGTTGGTGCTCTTGCGACCAGCGTTTGGCTCTGTGTGCTCTCCTACTTTGCTTTTCCATTCCAGCTTTTGATTGCGTCTACCTTCATCGGTGCGCTGTGTGGCAATTATACCACATTTTTAGGGGCCTGTTTTGCCTACATAGTTGATCAATGTACAGAACAGAAACAAAGAACAATTAGAATAGCTATAATTGACTTCTTACTTGGACTTGTCACTGGATTAACAGGACTGTCTTCTGGCTATTTTATCAGAGAACTAGGTTTTGTGTGGTCCTTTTTCATTATTACCATGGCCCTTGCTGTTAACTTGATTTATATTTCATTTTTTCTTGGCGATTCACTGAAAGAGTCTTCATCTCCGAATGTTTCCGTATCATGTAGTGAAAGCTTTAAAAACCTATTTTACCGAACTTACGTGCTTTTTAAAAATGCTTCTAGTAAGCGGCGGTATTTTCTCTGTTTGTCACTTTTTACAATGATCACTTATTTTTTTGTGATAATTGGCATTTCCCCCATTTTTATCCTTTATGAACTGGATTCACCGCTCTGCTGGAATGAAGTCCTTATAGGTTACGGATCAGCTCTGGGTAGCATCACTTTTTTTAGTAGTTTCCTAGGAATATGGCTTTTTTCTTACTGTATGGAAGACATTCACATGGCCTTCATTGGAATCTTTACCACCATGGCAGGAATGGTTATGACTGCTTTTGCCAGAACAACGTTAATGATGCTTTTAGGTAAGGTACAAAATGTAGCCTTAGAACGAACCGTGTATTTGATGTTTCTATGAAATGAATTTAGTCTGCTGGGTGAGAAACTTTTAATACAACATTCTCTGTTTAATGCATTCTAGTTCAATTAAGGCACTTTATTAAAAGCTAGTTTGCCAGAAGGGAAAAGCCAATTTGGTTTAAAAAAAAAAAAAAACCACCAGATTAACCACAATTTTCTAAATCGGCATACTTGCCAAAAAATCGTTTTGAGAAACATTCTTCTTGTGAGTCAATTCTTCAATAGAGCTTTTTGCCAACTTGAATATTTCTTAAAATGCGGCTAAGAAGGTGACTTTCCATAAAACTTAAAATAATTTTTTTAATGTTTATTTATTTTTAAGAGCGAGACAGAGCATGAGTAGGGGAGGGGCAGAGAGAGAGGGAAACAGAATCCGAAGAAGGCTCCAGGCTCTGAGCTGTCAGCACAGAGCCTGACGCGGGGCTCAAAATCACAAACCGTGAGATCCTGACCTGAGCCAAAGTCGGACACTTAACTGACTGAGCCACCCAAGTGCCCCTCCATAAAACTTTTCTAAAATTATTTTTTATTTTATTTATAAGTATTTTATTTTTAAGTAATCTCCACCTCCAACGTGGGGCTCACTCACAACCCCAAGATCAAGAGTCAGATGCTCCGCTGACTGAGCCATCCAGGCACCCCATAAAAATTAAAGACCATTATATAAAATAAACTCAGAAGACTTATACAATTCACATTTGTTGAATATATTCAAGAAGAAAATTCTTTAAGACAAGATTTTGTAGACTGGTCATTTCATCAAGTGGCTTTTGAGAAATCATTTTTTGGCAACTAGACTACTTCCTTCACTACCTACCCCATAGGTGGATTCTGTACGGCTCGAGTGAGATGCCGCATTTGAAGGCGCTAAGGGATATGGAAAGTGGAACCTTAGGAAATGTCTGATTTCATCTATTTCTACAAAGTACTGTCAGCCTCTTGCTACCTTGCAGAGAAGCAGGGTGACCAGAGAGAATCGGGTTTAATGTCCATCTATTAGGCACCAGGTGATCTTAAGCAAATTACTTAACTACTCAGGGCCCTCATTTATTCATCTGTAAAATGGGCACAGTAGTACCTAATTCAGAGGGTTACAAGAATATTAGAAGAGATTACTGTAAAGCACAATGCCTCGTATTCAGTAAATGTCAGTTCTCCCTCCCAGTTAGAGTTGCCAAGGCCAAGTAAATTGATACACAGTGCAAACTTTAACGTCATCTGCAAAAATAATCTATTACTGTTTTGTCATAGAACTGGAAATGCTACTAGTAGGGGTCATAATTTAAGAGGAGAGGCGATCTGTGTTCATAAAATGATTCAGCACAAAGATGAACACGCAGAAAGATAAAGAACCAATTTCTCAATAAGTGAATCAATACAATCAGAGCATGCTAACACTAAGAACGTCAAGTCTAAGAAAGCAAAAACAGAAAACACAGGAAGAAAGCTAAGTCACAACTTGCTGAACAAGAGGTTGCTATAATAATCAGGGAAATCGCACATCCATCCCATGGACCTAAAACCTCCATGAACTCTTGTTCTTAGTCTTGGAATAAGAGAGTAAGGTAACCTTTAACTGACCCATCTATAGTGTATCTTAAGTCATGAGACAGAAGTCTACAATTAATTAATTCAGTCCTCAGATGCAATGAGGTAGGATGCTTATAGAAAAGGACATAGTGGGAAAGAAAGTATTTCACACTTAAAATTGGCCACTCGTTTTCTGATTTGGCCAATGATTTCCCATTTCTCTTACAGTCCGGCTGCCATTCCTTTTCACGATTGTGCCGCTCTCTGTTCTACGGTCCATGATATCCAAAGTGGTTCGTTCTACTGAACAAGGTGAGTTAAATCTGCTTAAGGAATATAATGACTTTACAGTCTGCATCAACTCAAATCTATGGACAACCAATGTTTGATTTCTTTGAAATATCCTCCAACCCTTTTTCTGTTCAGAACTCCTTTTGAATTAAGTGGTAAGTAAGCTCTGTGTTGGGCAGGGGCTTGTGTTCAGGCAGGGGGTGCCCCTACTCAGGGACTCCCGTTTTAGAAGGCTTGCTCTAGCCAGGCCTTGCCCCAAGAGGAGAGGAGATGCTCAGGGCCAGGCAGATGCCCATTCTAGACTACAGTCTGGGTATCTGGATCCCCATAATTCCCAGCCACACAGCTCTGGGTTCATGTCTGTGATTGCCTGCATGGTCCTCTTCCTCAGACCCTTCCTCCTGAGGGTAGACTGTGACCCCAGTGTGCTCCCTTCTAGACCAAAGGGATAGCCAAGCCATCACTCTTCCTAGAACTAGCCCAACCTTGGCATTGCAGAGTGGGGTGTGCACTGCCATGTGTACATGATCCCTCCTGAGCAGGATGGAGCACGAGATAGAACCCAATGCGGGTGGGCTGCGCCCTGCAGCTGGGGACTGAAGGCTAAGGGCTAGCTTGCTCTGCCAGTGCTGTCCTCTTCCTACACAGAACTCTCGAGAGACTGAGCATTCCACGTTTGTGTCTGACCTTCCAAATCATCATGAAGGTATATTTCTCAGAGCAGGGAGTTGGAACATAGCTTAGTTAACAGTTTGTTCATTAGAACTGTAACTTACGAATACTTAGAATATAACAGATAGGCTTCTAATTGTATTCTTACACTGGACCCCACAAACGTCAGAGCTGAGCCTGGATTAGAGTCCTAGCCAAAACAGGATCCCACTCAGCTGGTTCAATAGTGACTTTTAATGAAGTCTAACCAATATGATGGAGTGGGCAGTGGAGAAGGCACCCAGAGAAGGTGGCCCAAATAGGGAGCAGAGACAAGACAGCACAACCTTTCTCTCCACCTTCATCTCATTGGCCAAGTGCAAAAGAAAGTCAGACTAGTAAGGAAATCCATGTCATACGATCGGAGGAAGTCTATCAGCCTCCCAAACACAAAGGGACGCAGGAGATCAAACAGTTGATGTGGGAGGGCAGAGAATAACCAATACAAAAGAACAGTAAATAAATAAATATCTAGTTAGAACTAGTTACCAGTTAGATATTAGGCATATCTGTGCCATATGAATATTGTTAGATTTTGGAGCTTTCTTTTGTTTCATGTCTTAGCCTGGTGCAGATTAATTCATATTAATTGTTGATGGACCATTCATACGTAGGCTACTGTATTTATGGCAGTTTAGTCAACACTGGGGAAGGCAGCTAATTCAGTACATTTAAAAATATATTTCTTGATTCTCTTCTACCCATAAGATGTTGCTGTATATGCACACAGCTGTTTATAGACTAGGTAATGATGACTGACTGGAAAACCACTTAGGAATATAAAAATTTTGTAACTATAGTATGTAAAAATATACCTGCTTCCTTGGGCTATGCAATGGTTTCTTAAATACGACACCAAAACAAAAGAAAAATAGGTAAGTTAGACTTTATCCAAATTAAGAGCTTTTGTGCTTCCAAGGACACCATCCAGGGTGAAAAGACAGGCTATAGAATGTGAGAATATATTAGGAATCATATGTCTAATAAGGAATTTGGGAGGTGGGGAGGGGAATGGATGAAATAGGGAAGGGGGATTAAGAATACGCTTCTCTGGATGGGCACTGAGTACTGTATGCAACTACTAGATCGCTGTAGTGTATGCCTGGGATTAATATAACACTGTATATTAACCACACTTGGATTAAAAAAAGAAAAGACAACCCAACTATATAGGCAACAGGTTTGAAGAGACATCTCTCCAAAAAGGTGTACAAATGGCCAACAAGCACCTGAAGAAATGCTCAACATCATTAGCCTTCAGGGAAACGCAAATCAAAACCACAATGAGACCCACTGGCTGAAGTGAAAAAGAGAGACCATAATGAGAGTTGGTGAGGATATGGAGAACCTGGGCCTCTCCTACGCTGCGGGTGGGAACAAACATAAAATGATGCACCTGTTTTGCAAAGACAGTTTGGTAGCTCCTCAGAAAGTTGAATAAAGTGCCCTTAGAACTCAGCACTTCCATTGCTAGAAACAGAGTGGAACTGAAATCCCAATAGAAATGAAAACATATGCCCACATAAAATCCTGCACACAAGTGTTCACAGCAGCGTGATTTATAGTAGCCAAAAAGCTTGGACCAACGTAAGCTTCCATGACCGATGAATGGATAGACGTGATGTGGTATATCGGCCCAATGGAATATTATTTGGCAATAAAAATAAAGTACTGATGATATCCGCTACACCACGGATGAACCTTGAAATCACCAAAAGGCCAGACACAAAAGGTCACACATTGTCATATAAATAGGATTCCATTTATGTGAAACATTCAGAAAAGGCAAACCCATGGAGACAGAAATCAGGTCAGTCCTATCCAGGGCTGGGGAGAAAGGGAGCAATTGCTAATGGGTACAGTTTCTTCTGGGGTGATGGCTGCACAGGTCTGTTAACTGTGCAATTGAAAGGGGTGGGTTTTAGGGTATGTGAATTATACCTCAGTAAAGCTGTCAGGGGAAAAAGAAAAATGGACCTGCTTCACAACCTGGAGCTAAAACAGACTTGTCAGGGTGTTTGGGTTGTTTTTGTTTATGTTTAGTGTAATGTATTTACAAAGGCTACTTAAAAGTCATTTCATACTGGTAAATATAGTGACATTTTTAAATGTTTTGCTTTTTGGAATTTCACGCGGAATTGTGGTAACTTCATGAATTGTGATTCCAACGTTTGAGGATAATATAATTATTCTTAACTGGAGACTAAGAAATCCTTTGGTGATGTCAGAATTTCCACACTGAATATATTCTGGTCCTGCATCACTTGTTTAAAAATGGGATATTTTTGTAAAAATGTTATGCACTTTAACGTAATCAGAGGAGAAGGGAAGTGGTGCAGAGGTTTTCAGGAGTCTCTCAGCATCCCCATCATCTTGAATGAGAAAGGAGGGAAAACTGGATTTGGGGGATTATTCTGGAATCTCTGTGCTCCACACAGCTGTGAAACTCATGGCTAAGGCCACGCTGGACCACGTCTTGCCTCATCGCTACCTGCACGCTCCTTGTGATTACCTGGAACACCGTAAAAACACACTTGACTTTCGAAATCTCCTGGATTAAGAAAAAGTATAGAAACTAAACAATTGGCTGATTACTTAATCCCTTTTATCTCTGGTGACTATGAAACCAGTTGAACTGCTCTGGAAAGTGAGGCAACAAGCGAACCCTCTTTTGTAACAGAATGGCTGTCTGTGCCAGACAGATGTACCACCTGACCAACTTTCTGTCAAGAATCGAGCTCCGTCATTGCATAATAGGACTCGGACCATCCAGTCTGTCTTCTGCGGCACTGTGCCTGGCGGTAGCAAGGGATCAGAAATATAAGACGACAATAGCATAGACAGGTAGGAGAACGTCCAACTAAATGGACTTCATGTTTTATCATAAATCATGGAGGCAACAGGTCTGTGTCCTACTTGCTGATTGATAACTGGGCTCTTGAATGAAGCTCGTATTCATTCATTTGACAAATACATGTGCCAGGACATCTACCATGTGCCGGGACAGATAGGCCCTGGGACACAGCAGTAAACAGCACATGTGCACTTGGCATGAACAGAGCTTTCATTTTAGTCAAAAGAAGACACATACGTGAAAACACAGTAGTCTTCGGAGATATGTTTATGTTTTATGAACATGTGACCTGTCATTGAGTGAAGAATCAGAAGCAACGTATAGGGATATGTATACCAGGGTAAAAAGTTTAAGTAGATAAAAATGCACACACCACAGTCTACAAGACCAAGACCATGGGGAAAATTAAAACAGACCATGGAAGCCACAATCTAGTTATGAAAGGCGACCTTCATGCTTGTCTTTTCCTACTTATCGGTCCAACCAAATACAATTATTTACAGGATTTGCATTGTTTATAGGAAAAATGCATCACAATTTATCATGGAAAAGTAAACTTGGCAGAGCAGGGAACAAGCACAATGGCTTAATGGTAGAGTCTGCCAAAACCACATAGGAACCTCTACCGGGGACGTCAGGAAGAGTAGAAAACAAGACAAAATTTTCTGTCTGGTGATGCAAAATTTGACAGAGAGGAAGACAAGAACTTCAAGATGACCCGCCTATCTTTTAGAGGTTTAGCTGCTCAGGCAATGTGGTCTTGGATCGTGGGCAGAGCTAAAACTCGGTAGAACTTGTGCCCCCTTTTCTCAGGTTATGAACTCGGACTGACCCCGCAGCCACCTCACACTTCTGGAACAACCCTGGTGAGCGGCAAGTGCGCCAGGCAGCGGCGACGTCCGCACTCCCTCAGTCTTGCGAGCCACCTCAGGGTGGAGACTGTTTCAAGCAGGGAAGGCAGAAAAGAATCACATAAAATCAAACCGTGGCATAACTAGAGCACAGAGGGTTACTTGAAGAGTCACAGAAAGGAAGCTTGTGGCTCCTGAATTTGTTGGCGCTCTGGAGGGAGGGACCCGAGGCATGCTGCGGAAAGTAGATGCCATCTGTCTGCAGCTGTCCCCTTTGCCAGATCTGAGAAGCAGACAAGAAGGACTGCTTTAACTCACAAGGCCCCTGGGGTGGGACCTCTGCTGGTGGGAGCCGCCTGCGCATAGGAGGCGTGTCACAGACGTCCCCAGCTTGGGGACTGAGAGTGGGAAACACGCTTGAACGTCAGGGCTACGTAGTTGTGGCTCTGCCTGTGGCAGCTCACGGACAGGAGACTGTGGATTTCAAATGCATCAGCTGCTGTTGCTTTTCACCTTTGCCCTACTGACATCAGAACTATCGTGTTGTCGCCTTCCCTCACGTCAAATCCAAGGAAAGAGCTCGTGACCTCAGTTTCTTCATCTGCAAAAATGGGTTAGTGACTTCTCGGGGATTTTGAGGAAATATCTTTCATTCACCAAGCAGTGCCCTGTGTATGCTTTTTCCAGTGAGTGAGTTTTCTCCTTTCGTTCTGTTTATTGTTTTGTTACTCAGCCATTTCTTTTTCTCCTTCCACACCCTGACCCCAAACAGGTACCCTGTTTGCTTGTATCGCCTTCTTAGAAACACTTGGTGGAGTCACTGCAGTTTCTACTTTTAATGGAATTTATTCAGCCACTGTTGCTTGGTACCCAGGCTTCACCTTTCTGCTGTCTGCTGTGCTATTGCTAATTCCAGCCATCAGTCTAAGGTAGGTACTTATTTCTAACCCTTTGAACAGAAGGTAGCTGGATTAAATGAATTCCCTAACCTCACCAGTAAAATTACATAGAGCTGTTAAAGTTGTTTAAAAAAAAAATTCAACTGGGTGACTTTTACACATCTAATTGGCTCTGCTCGTTGATTCACAACCCCAGCGGCCTCCCATCTAAGAAGCAGAGCAGAGCTCTGAGGAACTGTGCTAACTGGAAGGTTTTCATAGGAAGACGGGTGGGTCGTGAAGTTATTAGCAGAGGAGAAGAAATAATTATTTTGGGCAAAGTCACCATCCCTTAGGGAGAAGGGCAGGGGGCCTTATGAGGTGGATGACCTCACCCTCCTTTGGAGGGTGGAGAGGGCCAGGGGCAGGCCCACCCGTGCTGACCAGAAAACTCCTGGCTGATGGCAAAGACTAGCCTACGGGGCAGGCTGGACCTGCAGCCAAGTTACATATTAAGTCCAGGTTTGATGAGCTAGTAACGGACACCACGTGGGGCCTGTGGCTTTCTTTTGAACAACGTTTTGCCCCAGAATGTACTTTTCTCAGTAACTTTTAGACATGAGGACATCTATCGATAATGTTGGAGACTTAAGAAGAAAGAGACAATGACAAGGCTGACCAGAACTAGGAGAAAGAAATTTGGGTCAGACTCTGAATAGCCAACCCCTGTCTCTTTAAATATGAACTGATTAAATTAGCATCCAAGAATATGTGTGTGTGTGTGTATACACACAAATATATTCATATCCAACTGTGATTTCCAAGAGTATAATATCCCCTGGGGGACCAAAGATTACTATAAGAAAATAGACTTTAATATGGGGTCTTAAGTTGATGAAAAGAGCAAATAGTGTGCACTGAATATCAAGAGTTCTCTTTCCAGAGTGTTGGCTTATTTAATGACTCCCTTGCTTAATGTAAAAATCTGAATAAATACAAAGTACCAAATTCTATTTATGAATAGTACATAGAATGAAAAGACCAGAGTCATACACAAAAGAAATATTTATTTCTCCCCCCACCTTTAACAAAAAGTGTAATCTACCTAGTGGTAGATAGGTGGTTGCCAAAATGCCCAAGCAAAGAGAGCAGACACATTCTATGGGGCCAAGACACTGAGCTGAGAGCCCACTGCCCCTTCCTTGCTGGGCTTTGCCCATTCCACATGGCCTAGAGCACAGTGCAGTGGCAGGGGTGAGTAGAAGGGGGGTCACAGTGCATCTCTGCTTTCTCCTGAGCATGGGGGGCGGGGTGGTGAGTAGGGAAGGGGAAAGTACCTATGTGCACGGGCTTTACCCATTCTACTACGACTGTGACCTTCTTGAAGGGCTACCCTATGTCTTATTCATAGTAGGACCTCATTACATATTGTCTCTGCTGAATTTTCATCTCTAGATCTGTGGAAGACAGAGTACACTAGTATTTACAGTTCTTCTGTAATTCTGATGAAAAGTTATTTTTACTAGATATCTTTTTAAAAAGAGACTCCACCTGTTGAACTAGCAAAATTAAAAATACATGCTGTGCTAGATAGTAAATGATGAGACGATCTTATACATTCCTGGCAGGAGTGTTATTTGGCACTATCGCTTTTGGAAAGCAATTCATAAATGTGTATCAAAAGCTTTTTAAAATTTTTTTAAAATGTTTTTTATTTCTGAGAGAGAGAGAGAGAGACAGTGTGAGCAGGGGAGGGTCAGAGAGAGAGGGAGACACAGAATCTGAAGCAGGCTCCATGCTCTGAGCTGTCAGCACAGAGCCTGACGTGGGGCTTGAACCCATGAACCATGAGATCATGACCTGAGCTGAAGTTGGACGCTTAACCAACTGAGTCACCCAGGCACTTTTAAAGCATTTTTAAAAAGTTCATAGTATTTGACCCAGTGATTCCTTTTAGAAGCATATCCAAAGGAAATGATCAGTAATATCAAAAATTTATATACAGTTGACTCTGAACAGCACAGGTCTGAACTGCATAGATTCACTTACATGTGGGTTTTTTTCTACATATACAGTACTATAATGTATTTTCTCTTATGATTTTAACAACATTTTCCTTTCTCTAGCTTTATTATAAAAATACAACATGTGGGGTGCCTGGGTGGCTCAGTTGGTTAAGCATCCGACTTTAGCTCAGGTCATGATCTCACGGTTCATGGGTTCAAGTCCCATATCAGGCTCTGTGCTGACAGCTCAGAGCCTGGAGACTGCTTCAGATTTTGTGTCCCCCTCTCTCTCTGCTTGCACTCTGTCTCTTTCTCTCTCTCAAAAATAAATAAACATTTAAAAAATATTTTTAAAATTATATACAACATATAATACATATGACATGCCAAATATGTGTTAAGAGACTGTTTTATGTTACTGGTAAAGCTTCTGGTCAATGATAGTTGACCAGGTACTTTGCCCTCCCTTACTCGGCCCATACCCCCCAGACTTAAAACTATTAGTAGTTAAGTTTTTAGGGAGTCAAAAGTTATATGCACATTTCCAACTGCATGGGGTGTTCAAAGGTCAACTGGTATAAAGTTCATTAAGACAAAAGAAAATGTTTTAAATGACCAAAAGAGAATGATTAAATAAATGACAGATGGTGCATCCATATCATGAAAAAAAAAAAAAAGAATTAGGGGATAGAAAATGGGTAATTTTCATTTTATTCTTCATATATGCATACATATCTGTTCGTGAATACATATGCAGCTAGATAAAAGATAGTCATTCTTTTAATAATGCTTCTAATGTAAATGTAGACGGTCTTCTGAGATTTATTAACCCTATACTGTTCAGTATTTTTAAATATAAACTTACATTCTTATTTTTTTTTAAGTTTATTTATTTGAGAAAGGTAGAGACAGTGCAAGTTGGGGGAGGGGCAGAGAGAAAAGGAGAGAGAAAATCCCAAGCAGGCTCTAACTGTCAGCACAGAGCCCAGTGTGGGGCTCGAACTCACAAACCATGAGATCATGACCTGAACCTAAACCAAGAGTCAGACACTTAACCGACTGAGTCCCCCAAGTGCCCCAAAATTACATGGTTTTTAAATTCCAGATGTCTTCTTGTCCCAGCTTCAGTTATAGATATTGAACATGAACTTCAGCCATACCTACAGTTATAACTACTTTTTGTGGACTACGGAGTAGACATTTTAGGGATCTGGAAGAAAAAAGAACTGTAGATTTTTTATTATTTTCAGGATTCTATGCCCAGCGAGTCAGCTGGACTCAAAATGCCAGTGTGTTCCTCCTGTATATAATTTGCACAATTTATTGGAAGCCATATAACCAGGGGGAAGTTGGAATATAGATTATGTATTGCCGTAATCACAATTTCAAAATGTCTTGTTTGCTTTTGCAGCATTGTCAAGTGCACCAGCTGGAAAGAGGGAGGCTATGTAATTCTTTCACAAGAGGAATCCAGTGAACACACCTCAGACAGATGATTGTGATTAAAAAAAAAAAAAAACAATTGGACACACACATTATATATACTCTGACTTCTGAGGAACTTAAACTAGTTCCATAATCAATACTTCATGAATAATCAATGCCACATGCCCTTTCTTCTAAACTGAACAGTGAGAGAAGTAGCTCCTGGCTCTTGCTTCTTATAGTACCATGCACTTTGAGCACTTTATGAATATTATACAATGGATTTCCATAGATAGAACAAATCTCAAAACACTTCTCACTTCTGGATTTAGGAAAGATACAGAAACCTCACAGTATAAAGGGATGAAGAAACTTGACACAATCGAAAGCAATAATCTCCCTGACATACTCCAGCCTCTCACCCTGGGACCAAGGAGAATTCTATACCTCAGTTTCTTCATCTGCAAAATGGGTTTCTGACCTCACAAAGATTTTGAAGGCATAACTGTTCAAAATCATGATGAATCATTCTCTGATAGGAAAATAATGATTGACAGGAGCTTCAAATGTTTCTAGTACAATCATACCTCTACTTAGATAATGCTTTGTTTTATGAGCCATCAAGGTCTATTGACCATGAAAGTTTCTAATAGATGCAAAAACCTTAAAATGGAAGCACTTTAGAGGATACATATTGTCACTTTTCCCAATATGTTTCATCAGTGACAGGCATGATAATATTTATATAGTTAACAGAGGGGTGACTTGAAAAGATATTATAAATAAAATTGTTTATAAAGAATTGTGAACACTGAGTAAGCAGCCAATCACGAAGTAATGTTATAGAGCCAATATTCATTCCTTATTTTTATCAAGGGATATCGATTTCTTACTGCCTTAAACTTATCCTGAGACCCACCGTAGTCCCTGAAAACACATTCTCTTATGCCTCCTATCTTTCTATACACTCTTCCATTTGCCCTTCCTCCCATGGGACATTGGAACGTTCTAGTGTCAGCCAAAACCTTGTTTCCTCTGTGTTTGACATTTCTTCCCTACTCCTATGCTCCCCCCACCCCTGCAGGGCACTAGCATCTTCCATGGTCTCATAACATTTGTTTTCCTTACTTGACAATGAGCATCCTGGGGACAGGGACACTCTGATTCCTCATTACAGCCTCAATAAATGTTTGCTGAACTACATACAAAATTCTGTTTTTCCTTGTAGAAATAATTTAAAGCTACATATTTAAGTAGACACTGTTTTCATGCCACAGTCATTAAGCCAGCCTTGCAAATCAATTTAAAAAATATGCTAGCACTTTTTAAATTGGTTTATGGTATTTTCATTGGTCCTTCAATATCTCTCAATTTCTTTGTCTTTTTTAATGTTTATTTATTACTGAGAAAGACAGACGGACAGACAGACAGAGGCCGAGAGGGGGAGGGGGGAGAGACGCAGACACAGAATCTGAAGCAGGCTCCAGGCGCCGAGCTGTCAGCACATAGCCCGACACGGGGCTCAAACCCACAAACTGTGAGATCATGACCTGAGCCGAAGTCAGACATTTAATGAATTAAGCCACCCATGCGCCCCAATATCTCTGATTTTCTAAGTTACGATATGTAATAACACAAATGCCTTGAAGTACAACTAGATGATTAACTTCTTTGTAATCTCTGGAACACAGCTGTCCATTTGATAGCCCTGCTTACAGCTTCTTCCTGCAGGGTAATCAACGATTGCCCTAGCGAATAGCACTCAGTGTAAAATACTAGAAATTTTTATTTACAAGGTCATTCCTTTTAAGTCTACCTAATGCTTTCTGGGCCAGAAGCCCACATGAGAACTGAGTGATTTCCATGATTAATCTTTGGTTTTCTTCCTGTTCAATACTTTTCCCAAACCAAAAAGAACTTTATGGTTTATAAAGTGATCTATATCAACTTAGTGTACACTCCCTTAATAACCCTGCAGAGTAGATATTCATGTTCCTCATTACAGTCAAGGAAGGTAAGTCGCAGAGAGACCTGACCATGGTCACTCAGCTGCCTCCAAGCAGCAGCGTTACACACAGATGGACTTGGCGTTTCTCAGATCCTTCACAGCTAAGGTGTCTGTGTTACAGATAGTAAACCCTGCATCAATGCTGGTACAAGGTAGACTATGAAGTACCTCCCAACAGAACACATCAGCGCTACCTGTACCCACCTACACTGCCTGCAGTATCGCCCTTTTTAATGGCTAGACATAATGGCCTCCAAAGTCCCTTTCAGCTCAACCTTCCATGCTTTTACACTTCTCATCTAAACTGAAGAGCACAAACGGTATTGTTTCATACAGTTAAGAGAGGAACAGATGGTTTCATCTTTGAGCAAAAGCTATTTGAGATGCAGTAAGTATATGAGGGCCCTGGACTGAGATGGCCCAGGATAAAAGCAGCATGAAGGAGGTTAGCCCTCTCTAAAGTAGCTATCCTAATATACAATTAGTACATGTGATGGGGAAGAGACCAGAAAAACACACAAGCTGATGGGGTTATACAGTCAAGACAGAAATGAGGGGACAAAGTGCTACCACTTAATCTTCCATAATGTGACCTTGTTCTCTGATTATCTGAAGAAAGAATATTGGTGGGGTGATTTGTCTCTGCGGGGTCCACATGAAGGGAACAAAGAGGAAAGACATGTTCCTTTTTATCCACACTGTACAAGGGCAGCTAGATTAACCAGATCTAGTAGAAATGGGTATTTCTACTAGAAATATGAGAGAGTGGCTATTTCTATGAAGTTGGACTATTCAATGGCATCATTTACAGCCTGCATTGCACAGTCTCAAGAAACACCTCCTCTCTACCCCTACACTCACCAAATAACCATCTGGTTACTCATCCAGTGTCCAAAAAATCCTGCTAATAAGAACAGGGTATCCTAGGTTTGGTTCCCTTTTAATGAAATACCTGCATATCAGAACCACCCAAGGAATTTATTTTTAAATCCCTGGAGATTCTGATCCAGTCAGTCTGGGGTGGGGTCTCAGAATCTATTTTTAAAACTTCCCAGGTGACCGATACACATCAAGATCTGGAAACTACTGCCCAAATAAGTTCTTCTCAGCCCTATTCTAAATGCACATTAGAATAATCAATGTGGGACGGGAAGTAAAATAAATACAAATAAGCCTTTTCATGGGCCAGTGGTTTTCAGTCTTAGCTGCCATGGAGAATCACCCAGGGGGCTTTTAACGCTTCTGATCTCCAGGCCAACTATACTGGAATTTCTAGGAGGGGAGGGCGGACATTATTAGTATCTTTTCAAATGTTATCCAGGTGACTCCAGTACGTGGCCAGGGTTGAGAATCACTGCTTTCGATGAGGCATCAGCAAACTCCCGTCAGTGGCCAGAGAATCAGTATTTTAGGCTTTGTGGGTTATACAGCCGGTCACAATCACATACCTGCCATTGTAGCACAGAGCAGCCATAGACGGTACGTTAATGAATGTGCACAGCTGTACTCTAATAAACATGCCAAGCAGCCAGCTGAGTCTGGCAGTACTTTGCAGAAGCCCTGCTCTAGACAGAGAACACACACATATTGTGGTTACTGGAGAGCTATGTCCCTCACTGTAAATAGTGGCAGTTTAAATGACAGAATGCATAAAATAATGTAAATGTGTAACTCTCGGTACAGCTCCTGACTCAGCGGGGGCTTGAAAAAGCAGTCTCGTTTGATTAGCTCAAGATAGTCCCGGGAGCCAGACTGAATCTGGTTGCGCTGACAGCAGTAAGTTTCTGGACCTACATGGCTTCAGATGGTTACTTAGGGACGGCTTTCTCGGGGATGATATATAGCTAGAATATGATCAAGACAGGACCTAGCCCAACTGGTTTCCTTGCCAAATATTTAAGGAACAAGTAAATCAACTCTACACAAGTGTTTCCAGAAGACAGAAGCAAGGACCACTTCCCAAGTCATTTTATGAGGTCAGCATTATCCTGATGCAAAACCCGACCAAGGAATTACAGTTCTTCCTTGAGTCATATCCCAAGAAAGCCATCATTTTCCTAAGTCGAAAATCCTAACAAATACCACAGCTTACTTAGCCCAGCCCACTTTTAACTGTTCTCAGAGCTCTTGTATTAGCCTAGAGTTGGCCGAAACCCTCTGACAAAATGCCTGTGTTGTACTAAAGTGCTGAAGACCTCACAGACGTACTGGGCACTGTACTGAAAGTGGAAAACAGACGGTTGTCAGGGTGTCCGGGTGTTGCTTGTCTACTCTCACGCTTGCATGGCTACCTGGGAGCTGCCATGCCCAGCATCACGCGACGATCCTACTGTGTATCACAGCCTAGGCAAAGGGCAAAGGTCCAGTTCCAAGAGCAGTTTCTACTGAATGTGTATCCCTTTCGCACCGTCATAAAGTCAAAAAACTCCAAACTCTAACACCCCAAAGTGGGAACTGTCTGTACACGAAAAGTGAACTACTGTTAAATAAAGAAGACAAGTTAAGTGACACACTTTACTTAAGCGTCACGAAAATAGGTCTCCATCTGGAGAATGGCAAACCGGGGCAGAAGGCAGGAAGCTTGTACAGAAAAAAGAGCAAGGAACAAGGAAGTACGTAGAAAGCCCGGAAATGGCTTGGCATTTGGGTACTGGCTGACTGCATATACTACGTTTTCGGTCAAACTGCATTTACAGAGACACATTTAAACACTACAGGCTAATATTTATCATGAACATAAACAAAAAAGTCAACAAAATATTAACAGATCAAGCAATATATGAAAACAATAATACATCTGTCTAAGTGGAATTTATTGAGAGAATACAAGTCTGGCTCAACATCTGAAAACTATCTAAAGCCCTATACTAACAGATTAAAAGGGGGGAAAAACACATGACTATCTCAATAGGCGCAAAAAATTTTTTAACTAAATTCAAAATTCTATTCATGATAAAAATTCTCAAGAAACTAGAATCAAGCTGATAAAGGGCATCTACCAAAGAAACACACACACACACACACACACACCCCACATGCAAAACCACACAGCTAACACAATACATAACAGTAAAAAGGCTGGATGCTTGTCCCATAAGATTGGGAAC